GGTACACCTTAAATACCTGCATGTTCACCACTGAAGAACTGAGGAAATCAAGACAAAATATGCTCAACAAAAGGCTATTATTTATATAAATCTGCAATCAGCTGAAAGAACTCCAAGTATTTCAGGTGCACAGGCAAAGCTGCTTGGCTCTGAATCTCTCCAAACAGAATATAAATATATGAAAATGCAGTAACTAATGAAACCTCACAGTACTTCATTATTTTACCATCTCAAATGCTCCTCTTTGTTTCATTTAGTTGCACATATACATGCATGTAGCTGTTTACACATAAAATATATTTACTATACATACCGTACATCACATCTTATCACACAAAAAGTCGACCATCACACAAGTGTCCTGTTTCCCATACACATATGCGAGCACGTGTGCACACAAAGCCACAAGTAGGCTCTCTTGAGTAAATGTGGAAGCTATCAAAGAATTTTGAGTCTGAATGTAGAACGGATCCTAAGCTCCCCTTCTGCTCCAGGACACTCCTCAAAAGCTAGAATATACTCTTTAGAGAGAATCAAAATTACACCTTGGCTACTAGAATCATTTTTAACCCCTCAAGGATAGAAAACATTTTACAAATATTTTATGTAAAAATTAAAATTTTAATCTTTAGATAGCCCTTCTCTCTCTAGTCACCCTTACTTTTCGGAAATACCATTCAAACTGTGATTTTAACATGCGAAAGAATTCTGCAATAGACAAAAAATATAGAGTAACACAGATAAAAATCCTAGAAATTGCTCAGCTGTTTCAAAAACACCAAGGAAAACATTGATTCTAGACAAATAATTGTAGTGTTTGTCTTCTTTTTAGAAACATCTGCTACCAAAATAAACATTTACATTGGAAGAAGTGTCTTGGCTGTGAAGATGTTACCAAATAAGATGCTTATGTTCTAAAATAAATATTTCACTCAAGAAGCAGGCATCAATGTGTATAGAAGGCAGAGTAAAGACACAAATTAGAATGCTCACTGCATTGCAATAATGCTAATTTAGTTTCTACTTCAATTTAAAGTGATAGGTTTAGATGGATCACCTTTGCACCCATAAATAACTTCTTTTTAATCTTGTCACTTTCAAAGCAATGACCACAATCCATTCTTGTTGTAAAGGTCATCATTATTTTTTATTTTAAATATGTTTTGTTAGATTTATCACAATAAAATCACTCATGAACTTATATTGCTCATTCTGCTTTCTTTACCTTTTCCCAATTCTATAAATTCCAACAAGCATCAAATACTATAGCAAGGTAAAGACAGTTAAAATACCAATCCAACAACCCAGGAATATCTCAGTCGACATTTGAAATCTGACTGTTACTCATGAAGAGCTTCTGCATCCAAGTCTTCCTGAGTGTTATTTTCTAAAATCTTTTTTAAAGCAAGTTGACAAAGACCTATTTAGGTTCCCAAAGGACAAGAAAAATGAAACAAAACCTTTGTTTATCCATGTCCCTGAGCCAACAAAGTATGTCTTGGTGTCTTTAAGAGACAAATAAATAACTGAAAAACTCAAGAGTCATATTTTAGCAACCTTAAGGCATGTGTATCTGGTAGCTTTGTGTTAGATTAAATCAGCCAGCACATCCCTCCTACCATCCCTAGGTCCAGGTTCCAGGAGCCTGGAGGTAGAACATTCTTTACAGAGGCAGAGAGAATTCATTTCCCCTCTCAACTCAATAAAAATCCAAATAGACTAGTTTTTAGGGAACCATGCAAAATTAATCTGTTTAGGCATGTATTTGCCTGATGATGTGGGAGAATCAGCAAGTGAAAGACCACAAATGTAATTCCAGTGAAGGAAGACTGAAACAATATTTTATAATCAGATCATGCTTCAATAATTCAGTCATGAGTATGTATTTAAACAATAAAATTATCACCATACAAGTCAAGAACCATGAGGTTTAATTCTAAAATCAAACACACAGTGGCTAGTTTCTCCTGATTCTAAGTGGCAAAATATAAGCAGAGATCTATCCATGCTAACTTTCATATAAGCGCTACATTTCTTTCCAGGAGGATACTCCTGGGAAGTTCCTATCACAGGAGTGGAATGACAGCCAGGAGTCAAACTGTAATGCCTGAGCCAAAGACAACTTAAGACTCAGCTGGTAAGTGAGCAACTCAATTGATAAACCTGAACTCCTAAATTTTAATCCTTTGCAAACTGTATGAGCAACAGTAAATGAACTGGATTCAGCTCATTAGAGGTTCATAAACCAAACACAGAAAACTTTGGAAACCATCCAGAGCAAAGTCATGACTAGCTAGTGATGTCCACTCAATACTCAATGTCATGATTATCTTCCAACTTTTCCCCTGAAGAACAGCTACAACAATGTTCCACCAATTGCATTAATACTGGGAGACGATGGATAAGGCCGGCAGGCAACTATGATGCCAGAATCTTGCGTACAGGCACATTTATAATTTCCAAAATCTGTAAAGTAACCCACTGAAAAATTCCACACCAAAGAACACAAATGAAAGCTAAGCAAAATTTTTTTTTAAAAAAAGCTAAGCAAAATAAATACATGTGCTTCTGCTCTAGTAACATTTGCTCAAATTCTTCACTAATTTTTTTTCATTTCAAAACTATTAAGAACTGTTCCCATGGACTTGGTATACGTCACCTTTAAAATATTATACACATTTAAAAGGATATTCACAGTTATTTTTATCCCTTTAAATTTCAAAATGAGATTTTATTTCAAAGCTTTATTGTAACTAAAGGGGGTAAGAGAAATACAGATTTAGAGCCTTGATTATTATTAACTCAGTATGAAAGGCTGACTTTTCTGTAGCCTGGATTTCAGTTTCTCACCAGATATGCTATTTTCCTTTTATTATTAGATCTGAGTGTCTCATTTTGGTTAACAGTAAAATACCTATCCGAAATCCTAAAATATGTTGAAATGCTTAATGAACAATCAATTTGATCCTTCATATAAATCCACTAGTTAACAAATGTTACAAATACATAAGAGTCACAAGGGTTAAATAAAACCAAGAAGCTAAGAAAATTGAGATTACACAGAGAGAGAGAGAGGGAGAGAGAGAGAGAGATTATATATTTGTGTATGTACACATGCTTGCCTGTGCTAGGGATTGATCGCTGGGCCTGGACACTGTCCCTGAGCTTTTTTGCTGGACTAGCACTCTACCACTTGAGTCATACCACAGCTCCACTTCCAGTTTTTTGGTGGCTAGTTGGAGATAAGAATCTCTTAGACTTTCCTGCCCAGGCCGGCTTTGAACTGTAATCCTCAGATTTCAGTCTCCTGAGTCACTGGTATTACAGATGTAAGCCACTGCCACTTGGTGAAATTATGCATTTTGTATATCCTCTACTTTTAGCCTTACACATTTGGTTTACTTATTACTTCAATACTTTGCCTCCTACTTTTGTTTTGCAAACTAAAATAACATCTATAACTTGTACCAGGAATTTAAGTCAATTTGAGAAGAGATGAGGGAGCATTCAGTTCTTGATTTGAACAGCATCCTTTGAGGGTAGGGGCCAAGGAATCGAGTCCCTGCTTCCACAAACCAGCCTGGTATTTCTTACTACCTTTCTGTAGCCAGAACAGCAGAGAGAACTACCCACTCCAAATCAACTGCAGAGTGCAAAGGCCAGATGGAGAGACACAGAGACAGAGGCTCTGTCACTTTTTTTCATCATTACAAATTATCTCCTCACAATCAGCAGCCTTAACTAAAAAGTTTCCACTCTAGAAAGCAAAGCATTCCTAACAAAAGTATTAATGCAGGAAAAATTAAGGATAAAATTAAGTATAAAACTGGCTGCTGGTACTCAGAGCCGTTTATCTTCAATAATTGCAAGTAAGATCTTCCACAATCAGTACTGCAGTTTAAGAAATCAACAGGCAGGATTCAAAGGTGAGCTGCTTCTCCCTTTCCCAAACAATGTCTTAAAGATAAAGAAGAAAACAATACTCAAACCACAAAAGAAGGCTATGTATACAGTGTGAAGTATGATAAACCACTCTCCACAGCCACTTACAAGCGATCAAGTCTGTGCAACTTTGTTTTCCCCCCGTGAAAGACTTGTGGTCAAATGCAGAGAAGACTTTGCTCTAAGAAAGTGCTGTTACCTCTGTAACCCTAGGTTACCAGGCAGCACTATGGACTAGCCTGGACGAGGGGCAAAAAATGCACACCAGCACTTGCCCAACACACTACACACTCCCTGGAGATACCACACTAGGTACAGCGATTCCTAAGTAAATACCCTGACAAGTCTGAATCTAATTTAGACTGTTCCAAGTTTCATGCTTCCTCGGGCCAACATAACAAGGATGAACTCTCAAGTATCCAAAGGACTAGGTTCCCACTGGTAGAGCCTGCATACACACTTCCAGCAAGTCCACTAGACTCTGTGGGGGAGGGAGGGTAGGGGGGACAAGTCTTTTGTTTAAGAGCAGAAAGTTCTTTCACCAAAATTCACCAAGATCTGAGGTAACAGATTAAATTCTCAAATGAAATACACATTTTCAATAGGTACAGAAGATATATTTGCTAGGAAATTAAAGCACCTGTTTGGGACACTTAAAAGAATTTTTCAAAGTTGTTAGAAAAGACCATTAGATGACTTGAAAATCTACCTTAAGGCAGTATACTTACAAACTCAAAATCTGATACTACCTGACCTCAAAAATATAGGAATGTCAAGTTTCCTTCAGAGTTTGTATCTATGTTATCTGCTTTAAAAAAAAAAAAAAAAAAAGCACAGCCCATCTTTCAAATACTAACCAGGTGTTCTGTCTACTTTAAAAGAAAAGATGAAAATGAAAGAAAATAGAAAATCACTGTCATGTCCCCTAATTATCTCAACACTAATCTCAGGTAGACAGTAAAAGAAAAAGAAAAAGCTACCAGTAAAACACAACACAAAACAAAACAAAACAAAAAGAAGAAAAGAAAAGAAAGAAGAAGAGAAAACTTAGCCCCCACCTGCTGCTGCGGGTACTGCATGGCCCCCAGGGTCCCCGGAGCCCGGCCCTGCATGCCGAGAGGGTACCGCTGTGTGCCTGGGGGACCGTAGGAGCCTCCTGGGTACGGACTGCTCTGCTGCGGCTGGGAATGGGGGCTACTGCCCATCCCATACAACTGAGGTCTCTTCATCACCACTGGATCCATTGGACTGCCCTGTGAAGAAATAAAGAAACAGGCTTATTAACTTACTGTTCATTATGAACAGAGAAGTCTGTATTGTGTTAACATATGCTGTAACAACTAGCCTCATTCTGACCATATCAAAAGCTATGATCCAACAAATAAACATCCAGAAGAACACTAAGAAAAACTTAAAAGGACTTTAACTTTTAGGAAGGTTTTAACAATCAAGAGGGAGCTGAAGTAAACCATATAAGGAATAGTTTTGCATCCTAAGCATCTAAAATTCTATTATGTATATAAGATATTAACATGCTAGTGAATCTCACCCAGCTTGTTTTAACTTATTAATAATAAGGGCAAAGGATACTGAGTGGTTAGGAAACACACAATGATGTCTTTTTTCCAGACTTGAGTCAGTGAGTCCTGATTGAGCATTTGCTGAAGTGAAAGAATAGGTTTTAGATAAATGTCTAGGGTAAAAGTTTCCAAAGATCACTAGTGTACAGCAGAACCCAGACAATGAGTCACAAGCTACCACCCCAGCATAAGTAAGCATCTTACCAAACATAACCAGTTCAAAACTAGACTCTGAATTTTATTTTTGGTCTGGTGAGTCAGACTCTGGGTTTCAAGGCCAAGGCCACTCAGGCTGAGAGCCTCCGCAGGGCCCTCCACCAGCGAGCATTCAAGGGGCAGAGCAGTGTAGGGAAGTCCCTAACCCAGGGCCTTATCCAAGAGACCCTTCCTTCCAAACCAGCATCCATCCCGCACCTGTGGAAGACTTGCCACTCCTGAGGTGGGGAGAGGCGGCACAAAGCACGGCTCCAGGAGACACACCACCTAGCGTGTGTGAGGAAACGCAAGCAGTCCAACCCAAGTAAAGCAGGAGCGAGTAGGAAGGAAGCCGAAGGAGGTAGAAGCCAGAACAGCAGTGGACCACTTAGGGATGGATGGGAGGCTGAGTGCTTCTACAGGACTGGCTGCCACACTGGGAAGGTGAGGTCCTGAACTGGAGCAGCACTAGGAACGAGTAAGTCCAGACTCAATCACACTGAGGACCTAGGGACTGGAAGTGACAGTGATTAGATGCAGGTGAGACAGGGTGAGCTGTAGGACAGGGAGCCACGCCCTGCTGGAGTGAAAGGCAGCCCTGTTATCTACCAGTGCTATATACAAGTTAGAGTCCATGAGAAATCCAGGTGCAGATATCCAGGTCCGTAAGTCTGCAGGCCGGGAGTGGGTCTGACCTAGAGCTTGAGTAGGGAAGTCAGCATGCCAAGGAAGCACGCTTCCGGAGGACAGGCGTTTCCGTCCTCGTCACTGTTCGCTTTCCAGGGTGTAAGTCAGGCAGTACACTTGGCAAACAGCAAATGCTCAACAAATGCTGGACAAAAAAATCATAAGCAGGAAGCAAGCAAACCATATATTCAGAAAGAATGTATTTTTAAAAGAGCTGGGCCTACACCTGTAAACCTGGTGCTCAGGAGGCTGAGGCGGTTCAAGACCACGAGTTTAAGGCCAACCTAGGCTATACGTCAAGACTGCCTCACAGTCAACCAATCAATGAAAACAATGGTAAAATGAATAATTTGTAGAGAATAGCAATTTTTTTACACAAAAGCAGAGGAAGCAGGGCTGGGAAGGTGGCTCAGTGGTAGAGCCCTTGCTTTGCATGCATGAGGCCCTGGGTTCGATTCCTCAGCACCACATAAGCAAAAAGAAAAAAGCCAGAAGTGGTGCTGTGGCTCAAGTGGTAGAGTGCTAGCCTTGAGCTGAAGAGCTGAGGGACAGGCCCTGAGTTCAGGCCCCACAACCAGACCCTCTCCCCTCCAAAAAAAAAAAAAAAGCAGGGGAAGGAGCCTACAAAGAAGCCAAAAGAATAGTCAGCAAAAATTGTTAGCTGATTCCAGAGAGCAAGATGGCATGGGAGAGAAGAGAGTCATGTGTAGAAGGAAAAAAACTAAAACAGGCCTGCCACACACAGCCCCCATACTGAGGTTAAAAGCGTGTGCTAACACTGTACTACGAAATGCTTGCTTAGCTGCGCAAGGACAGTGCCACTGCAGAGCTGAGGAAGGAAACCAGGACACTAGAAGTCAGGTATGAAGCAGAGGTAACGAAGGAGGCCAGCATGAGACCTCAAACCCAAGCTGAGGAGGCTGCAGGTGGCCAGAGTCCTGTCCTGCGTCTTAGTTACCCAGCATTCACTGCATGGATTGCAATGATTTTATTAATGACTAAGTACACTGAGTCAGATACTAAAAGTATAAATACAGGCAGCCTCAATGGCTGGTTCTAGAGATTCTATAATGGAAGGAGACATATATCAAGATCCTGATGTGACCAGCTGCCAGTGATTCCCACCTGTAATACGAATGACTTAGAAGGCTGAGATCAAGAGGGCTCCAGGTTATATGTTATAGGCCAAGCCAGGTAGGAAGCTGTGAAACTGTCTCAATTCATAGGTGGGCAGAGCAGTGCACATCCATCATCCTAGCTTTTTGAGAGGCTACGGTTAGGAAAATTGTGATTTTAGGCAATCCTGGGCAGAAAAGTCCATAAGAGGCCATCTCAACAAAAGGAGCTCCAGAGCGGCACACATTTGTCCTCCCAGCTGTGATGAAAATCTAAAATGAGTGCAAAAGTATGCACCTGGATGGGAAGCAAGACCCTATCTTGGAGTGCAGCTCAGAGATATTCTACCTAGCAAGTGACAGGTACTGAGTTCAAATCCCAGAGCAGCAGCAGGAGGAGGAAGGAGAGGAGGAGGAGGAGGAACAGGAAGAGGAGGGGGAAGAAGAAGGAAGGAAGGAAGGAAGGAAGGAAGGAAGGAAGGAAGGAAGGAAGGAAGGAAGGAAGGAAGGAAGGAAGGAAGGAAGGAAGGAAGGGAGAAGGAAAACCCAGGAAGAAGAGAGGAGGGGGGAAGAAGAAAGAAAAGAAGAGGAAGAAGGAAGGAGGGAGAGAGAGAGAGAGGGAGGGAGGGGAGAGGGAGAGGAGTGGGGGGAGGGAGGGAGGGAGGGAGAGAGGAAGGCAGGAAGGCAGGCAGAGAGAGAGAGGGAGGGAGGGAGGGAGGGAGGGAGGGGGGAGGAGGGAGGGAGGAAGGAAGGAAGGAAGGAAGGAGAATTCTGAAAGGAGAAGGAAGAAGGGGGAAGGGGGAAGGGAGGAGGAGGAGGAGGAGGAGGAAGGTGGTGGCTGGTGGCGACAGCAGCAGCAGCAGCAGCAGCAGCATCCTCATGTCAGGACACGCTCCCTGGCCCACTGTTAGAGAGGAGCGCTCCAGGCTCTGTAGCCAACACCTGAGCGCAGCCTGAGGGTCTAAGGACTGATCAACCACTCATCCCCCCTGGACCAACTAGGTGGACAACACAGCAGGAAACGGATGCTTTGCCCTGGGTCCTCTGCACACATCTGCTCAAATCAGCAAATTTACAGGCTTTTTAGCTATATTACTGTCTTAACCAACTAAATAACTTTCTTTACCCCAAGAAAGGTTGGACTCAAGCTGAGTGAACATGGGCGGCAGTGGATGGTCTTGGGGGATGCGGGAGGGTGGTGGGGCTGAGAGCCTGAACTGGCAGGAAGGGCCGGACGCCAGCCACGCTTAGGACTTGGGGAGCTGGCAGGGGAAGGAAAATGTTCTTATGGGTAAGTAAAGAAAATTTTCCAGGCAATACTTCCTTTATCTAGAAAATGGGGAAGAATAACCAAACCTGAATTGAGGACAAGAGCACCGAAGCACTAAGTACAAAACAGAGGAAGAGGCCATCGGAAGACCATCCGCCCGTGGTCACTGTGACACAGCCACTTCTAGTTCCAACCATGACGCCCCGCTGGTGGACAGGCAGCCGCCCGGCGTGTCTGCCTTCAGCACGTCTGAAGGACTCACCTCGCCGCCACACGGGCACCGTCCCGTGCCACCTCTGCCTTCCACCCCACGACTCTGAAAAAGTCGCCACTTTACCGTTCTCTCCTCCGCTAACTGAGAGAAACAATACCGACTTCCCAATTATGGTGAACCTCAGATTGGTAAGAACTTACTACACACGACCTCAGAGTTAGAAAAACTGACCACGAATGTGCATGTGTGAACCTAAACCTGCATGTGCAACATATCCACACACTAGACTGCACGGAGACATGCGGAAAAGGACCTACGAAACAATGGGAACTCTTTCGGTTGTGACACGCACGGTGACCGCTGCAGGGACGCGACGCTGGCACGGCGGGGGCGCAGTGTAAGCTGTAAACAGCTGCGGCCACAGGGTCTAAACATAGCTCTAAAAGAGAAGCCTGTGTTTCCTTAAGCGCACTACAAACACCTCTGCTTTCTCAAGGGGAGACGGCTGTAGCCCGCAGGCCAGCACCGCACCTCCTCTCCTGGTAAATCCTGCTCAGGACAGAGACCAGGAGGGCAGACAGGGCCGCAGCTGCTCCCCGCAATGTATCCTCCATCACGCGCCATCATGGTTTCCTGTCAAAGGCTCATGGGGGAGGGGGGACTCCCAGATGCCACCCCATGACTCACACTCCACATGCATCATCATTTCATCCCCATATTACTTTCCCACTTTTTGTGTGTCGTCTCTTACATCCCAAGTGATCATAGCCAGGCTTTAAACCTTCTTACAGCTCAAACACAAATGACTTAGATGACTGTTGTTACTTGGTAACTGCTTGGGAATGCTGACTGATCATATAAAGGAAAACGGTCTCAAAAATTAAAAAGTCACTATGTTGATAATGAACTTTACAACTTGGGGGGGGCAGGGGGAGGGAGGAGGTGGGGAGGTGGGGACGGAAGGGATAGTAGGAGAAAAACAATGCTCAATAAGAAATATACTCATTGCCTTACTCATGTAACTGTCACCCCTCTGTACAATTAAAAATAAAGTCAGCATTACTCATCAGTGATCAGTACATGTAGCTGATACGTGTAACGTCAGCGTTATGTGTTAACAGTGATCAAGTTCTCCTCCAAATGGCCTTAGAATCAGCTCATGAAAGCCAGAGCAGAACACCAAGGGTCCTTC